GATGACAGAGGAGGAGATGGCTGACCCAGAGTTGGGTCAACATGAATTTGACCCAACTCCAGGAGGCAGTGGAAGACAGGAGGGCCTGGCATGCTGTGGTCCATGGGGCCACAAAGAGTCAGACACGACTAAATAACTAAACAACAACAACAACCATGAAATATTCTTATGCTGAAGGATTTGTTTCATTTGATCTTTCAATCTCATTTTATACAACCAGTTTTTTAATCTAATCACTTTTTTCTTTAAATAATTGTGCCTAAACTTTCATATTGACAGGAAAATTCTCTATTTCAGCCACTAGTCCTAATGGAGAGTTAAATGGACATAAATTCTGTCTATACTTATGCCAGATGTTTAACATTGTCTTTAAAAACGGGTTATTAATTTCACTTATTTTGTATTTCTTAATCATAACAAATAGATATTTTTCAGTATCTACCTGTAATTCTGATGATTCCATTTCCCACTAAATTAACCTTTCTGGGTTATATACAATTTCCCCAATAAACCTCAACTGATTAGCCAAATAATAATTTTTTATATTTGGTATACCTATACCACCTTTGTTTGGTTGTTTTATACCAATACTTTTTATTTATTCTGGCTCTCTTCCCTTCATTACAATATAATCATTCTTTGCCAAAATTTAAAATCATCATCTGTGAACTGTATTGGTAACATTCTAAATAAAAAGATAATATTTTTTGGTAAACTTTTCATTTTTATCAGTGCTATCCTTCTAAACCAGTCAATATCTACTCAATTTCAAAACCTACTGACACTAGTGGTACATCAGAATTCTTTTAACATTAGGCTATTTTCTTCAATTAGTTAAGAAATTAAGACTGTCTTGGGCTACCTTAAAAACTTAACAAGTTTTATTCAGCATAACCTTTTCTGGACTGCAGCCCATATGTGGGATTCTGCTAGTAATCTGGCATTTAGTATTTCCCTTGAAAAGAGAAATCAATATAACCTGCAATGAAATAATGTAACCATATAATCATAGACAACTAGGAGTAGAAGCAACCACAGGGGTCACTGAGTCCAGCTCCCTGCCAAAGCAGGTAACTGAATTTCTGTGTAAACACACCTCTGACGTTGAAGAATGCACTGCTCTCCAGTGCAGTTCATTCTATAGTCAAACAGCTCTCACGCTTAGGAACTTCTTCTTAATCTTGATTTGAAATCTCTTTCTATAATTTAAATCCATTATTTCAGGTAATACATTTTGGAGCTACAGAAAAAAGCTTATTTCATCTTCCATCTCACAATCCGTCAAACATTTGAAGATGGGTATCATGCCACCTCTGAGTCTTGCTTTGTCCTGACTAAATATGTCCAACTTCCTTAATCTTTCCTCGTAGGGCCCGGTTTCTCAGGATCCTTCTCAGTATTCTTATTAAATATGTGTGAATAAAACTGGGCACAGTAATCCAGGTGAGGTGGCCAACACAGAATAAAGTGACACTATTACTTTCCCTAGACTTGGACACTATATTGTGTTGATGCAGCTGCATATCACATTATTTTTTTATGCTGCCACATGCACTGTTGGATCATATTTAGCTTGTGGCTGACTTAGCCTTCTAGACCTGTTTCACATCTACTACTGTCCAGCCAGCTGTCATCCATTCTATATCTGCATGTGATTTTTCCTGCCTAAATGCAGAACTCTACATATTTCCCTGTTGAAACTCATTTTATTTGTTTTGGCCTTGTTCTTCAGTCTGTTAAGATCTTCCTGAACACTGA